ACCACAGGGTAACGATGCAATACCATAGGGTAACGATACACTACCACGGGGTAACGATACAATACCAGATAGTACAGAGCAAGACTAGCTTGTAGTCAGTTTCGCTCTGTGTAGAGCCGAGTCTAGAAATGAGCTGAGATAGGATAATAGCTCTTAACTTGTAAATGAGCTGAGGCGGGATAACAGCATCTAGCATGTAAAATAAACTGTGTAAAAAGTCGCATTGCCACCTTACTTACGCAGGGAAAAAATGATCGACACCTAGGTTCGCTTCCTCCTGCAGGTAACTATATCTCTGACCTGACGGTTGAGGACTTCGAAGGCTACGAAACCTCGCTACAGACACTGGTGCTGGCTGAGAACTCCCTCACCACACTGCCGGGAGCCATCTTCAAGACGCTGGAGAACCTCAGAACCATCAACCTCAGAGGAAACAACATTATGACTATCAACACCAGGGCTTTCCACGTGAGTGAGAGGTTCCTGGTAGACACTGAGCTCCTGCCAGGAACTTTTACCGTCTTCAAGAAGACAAGATATTTTATAAGGCTGAAGAATTTTACAATATCATAGCTGGAACAGTTCATGACTATTTGATAAAACCATTTATTCACACTTCAGGACATTCATCAAAGGAACTTTTCGCTTCAACAGTCCTCATTATGATGGGCTGATTGAAGCCTCTCGTAGCGAAATGTTTCCATTAATAAATGTGCTGAACTGTATACAAGTGTCCTTGTCCATAGTTTGACGGCATCATTATACCGTTCACAACCAATTTATAGTTAACCCTTGGCAAAAGTGAGTTACAAGAGTCCCCAACTGGGGTGGTGGTTATCATCACAAGCATACACAGGCTACTGCAATTGTCAGATCATTCAGGTTTTATGAAATTTCCATCCGATTTTGACTTCTCTAATTTTAACACACAGTAGGCTGCGAGAACATATAAATTTTAAAGAATATGTACATTCTACACTTTCGCTTCCGTTTCCTTCCCCTCTCTCTCTCTCTTTTTCTCTGTCTTGTTTATTTTTCACGTACATATTTTCACTAATGTATTGCTGTTACAGGGATCGACGAGCCAGCTGGCGCACATCAACCTGGGCAACAATTTGCTTCCTGCCATTCCCTTTGAGGCTATGGCCGAAGTGCGCAATCTACAGACTCTCAACCTGGAGAGAAACCGCATATCCCATACCTTCGAAGTCCTCTTCACCGGTTCTCTTTTCTTAGATACGCTAGTTCTCGACTTCAATCAAATCGAGACACTTCCTCCATACTCCTTTCAGAACTTCGGGACTGTGAATCGTACTTCCCTCAGAGGAAACCCGCTTACTCATATCAGCGATGACGCTTTTAAAGACGCTAAAATCAAAGAACTCTATCTCCACGATTCTGATTTGTGGAGCATTTCGGATAATGCCTTCCGGGGCCTAGAGTCAACGCTTCAGATGCTCGACCTTAGCTACAATAATCTGTCTTTCATTCCCCCTCAGGCCTTCGACAGACTTGACACCCTCCGCTCCCTCTCTCTCAGCAATAACAAAATCTCTCTAGATCCAGCTGAGGCCTTCAACGGGTTCCGTTACACTTTGCAGTACCTCAACCTCCTGGGAGACAATATGGGTCCCATTCCAATGGATAAGCTAAAAGAGATGAGGAACGTCCGGACTCTTGGCTTGAGCACTCTTCCAGATAAGTCCCTCTCCAAGGAAGACTTCAAAGGCTTCGGTCCAGCCGTCGAGAAGCTCTACCTCATGAAAAATGGCATCACTGGAATCTCCAGCAATGCTTTTGAGCACGTCCCTGGGGTTAAGATCTTGGACCTCTCGAACAACAGAATTGTATCATTTGACAACGATGCCTTCGGCAACATCGGAGGAGGACTAGAAGAACTTCGTTTCAGCTCGGGGCTGTTGATGAGTCAGCTGCCATCCCAGCCCATGCAAGCCTTGGTCAACCTACGAGAACTTGATCTCAGTAACAACGCCCTCACGAAGGTCAGCGGCGAGTGTTTCCGCACCATGAGACAACTTAGAAACCTCAACATTCAGGATAACAAGATTGATTCCCTTAGTCGTAACCATTTCGAAGGTCAATTTCACCCCTATCTCGAGTCCATCCAGCTCTCTTTCAATTCCATCAAGAAGATCAAGCCTCAGACATTTCATGATTACAGGAACTTGAAGTATCTTTACCTAGATGATAACCAAATCAATATAATTCAGAATTCTGGTTTCTCAAACTTAGAGAGCCTGGAACATCTTGATCTAGAAGGTAACAACATCAAACTTTTAGAATACGAGGCCTTCCAAAATCTTCCGAAGCTCCGTTACCTCGATCTCTCCTTTAACGAGATGGACAATTTGAATCTAGATGCCTTCGAACAAGTGGGAACACTCTCCACATTGACCATCGATGCCAGCCACAACTGCATTCCCAACCTGAAGACAAACGGCTCTAAGTGGAACTCCTACTCTAGCATCAAGATGATTGACTTCAGCCATAATAACATCAGCTGGATTTCCGGTGATTATTTTGAATCGGTGAGATCTTCCATTGTGCACCTTTGGTTCCACCACAATAACTTGAGGAATATCAGCGCCAGCGTCTTCTCCAACTTCACTCAGCTTCAGCTCCTGGACTTCGCCCACAATCACATCAAAGAGATCGACCACGAAGCCTTTCGAGATACCCGTCGTCTGCAATACATAAATCTTCGTCAAAATAACTTGGTCGACCTACCCTCAACGCTCTTCGAGAACCACCATCGTCTGCGTCACTTCGAAGTGTCTTTTAATGAGCTTCGCAGCATTCCCGACGGCCTCTTCAAGTCTGCGCCGCTGGAGATCTTCCGAGCTCGCAATAACCGCTTCACCAAGTTTCCCGACACCAGCCTCCAACGATGCGCAGACAACATCCGGGTAATTGACATAGCCTACAACGAGATCTCATCCCTAACGGATTCCATGTTGGGCCGCTTCGACAACCTGGTGTTTCTCGACGTCTCCCACAACCATATAAAGAGCCTCGAATCTCAAGCATTCCGAGGAACTTGGCACCTCACAGTGCTGGATGTATCACATAACCCCGTCAAGGTACACCTCCAAGTTTTCCTATATACCTTCTATATTCACAAGAAGTGCCTTGATCTCTGTGAAGAGTTGTTAATTAAACTCATTTGAGCTACTCTCCCATCTTTGGATCAAACATGATTGCTTTCCATTAACAGTTATAATATTTATTATTTTACTGTCTATACCCTCTAGCACTGTTTTCTGAGTACTCGTGACACATTCTTTATTAACAATCAGCCTTTTAGAGGTCACTTTCGCATTATTTATATGTTTCAAAAGAAAAAAGTAATGACTAAGGCATTTCTGAAAAGATGCAATTCTATGTTTATTTAAAGCTGTGTATGTGACCTCCTTCAGGATATGCAGGGATACATCTTCGACGGTCTTCAGGAGTCCTTGATGAACCTGAGTGTAGCCAACACCTCCATCAGCGCCGTGCCTGACTTCGACCTACCTCGCCTCATGCATCTCAATATCTCTCACAACATCCTTACCTTCCTTCCCTCCGTCACCATGGCCAATCTCTCTTCCATCAGGTAGGGCCTCTCTGTCTTCCTCAGTTAGGTTCTTGTCTCCCTCTTTCTCCATTACGTAGGTCATTTTACTTGTACTCCATTAGGTAGATTCTCCTTCCATGCCTCTTCCTCCTCTAGCAGGTTCTTCTTTCCCCCTCCCTCTTTTCCATCAGGTAGATCCTTCTATTCCTCTTCCATCAGGTCAAATTATTCCCGTACTTCACATGACGTTCATCATTGACTCCACCCTTCTCTCCCTCGGTTTAACTCTGATTACCTCTCATATCCCGCCAGGTATTGTATCAACCTTACAGGTCTAGTGCTTCCCCATGAATATATTAATAATATTTCTCTTCCTTGCTTTCATTCCCAGCTGCTTCCATCATTATTATCACTCCTCATTTTTCTATTTAATTTTTTCCCTTAGTTCCTTCCACACCGTGAAGAATGTATGTCCCTAAATGGAACAAGTTTTAATGAATTATTTACCATATGTGAGCCAGGTCTCTCTGACCTCTCTTCATTACTGGTATATATACTTAATGAGGAATATACAACTAGTCTTGTTCATCCTTTTCATAATGCATAGTAAAAAAAAAGCACGGTACGGGCGGGAATTGAACTCGTGGTTTGTGTGCAATTGTGTCATTACAATTTTGTGAGTCAATATATAGAGTATATATAACTAGCCATCGTCATCTTGTCACTGCAACGAGGATAGGCAACATTCTAGGCTGTTTAGTCTAAGTGACATCTGAACTTTCGTACCTACACGCCTCTGGCCAGGCAGTGATAGCGCGAATGATGGTGAAAGTGTCTCTTTTCGAGTCACCCGCCTCGGTGGAAGACTGCCAGTGTATGTGTGTGTGTGTGTATATATATATATATATATATATATATATATATATATATATATATATATATATATATATATATATATATATATATATATATGTGTGTGTGTGTGTGTGGTGTGTGTGTGCTGCAGAGAGAGAGAACCACAATATCTCCCCATAGCTCCAACAAGTTTATCTCCCCCATAGCTCCAACAAACATTTCTCACCTCCATAGCTCCAACAGTAGCTCCTTTACTCCCACAACTCCAACAGAAGTTTCTCTTCCCCACAGAGTACTGGACATTTCCTACAATGAGTTGCCGGTGCCGGCCAACAATGCCTGGCAGATGTTGCCTCGTCTTAGGGAACTCTACATGCCTAGGAACCCAATCAGAACACTTACCAACGACTCCTTCATAGGACTGGAGAGACTTGAAGTGCTCGACATTAGAGATTTCCCACTCCAGGTGTTTGAGGTGAGTGGTGGTGGTCTGGAGTTCCCACTCCAAGTGAGAAGGCTAGAGAAGCAGAGATGAATGGGGTAGCGGAGTGGTGTTGCTTATTGCTAAGTGATATAATTAGGTTTATGAGTTTGAAAGAGGTTCAAGGAAGATTATAAAAGATCACGAAAGAGCTTCCAAGAGGTCATAAGGAAGATCATAAGAGGTCATCATTAATCCTAAATACTTCACAGGCTGGCTGCTTCGTTTCACTAACATCACTGCGCCGTCTCTACATGACAACTCACCCCAACATGCCAAAGTTCAACCTGGCCCAAGCCCTACATAACGTGCCTTCGTTGCAGGAACTCAACCTCGAGGTACGTGAAGACCATCTTCCAGGAAACCTAACCTAGAAGTACCTCAAAGCCAAGGAAGACTGGCTATGTGGCTAGGATATATTCAGTTGAGGAGCTCCAGTATTACTCCAGGATCTTTGGTTACTAGACACGTCAAGGGTGATCTTCCAGACATCCATTATCTAGGTATCTCGTATGTAACCGCGTTAGACATCTTCCGTGGTGTTGGAAGAACATCCTGCAAATATGTCGAGTTTTTACCCTGTAGGTCACGTTGGTATTGATCTAGAGTGGAAGTTAAGTCACACGTCTTCCGTTTATTCCAGCTGAGGTGGTCATATTATGTGGTGTAAATAAGATATTTTTTCTTTGTTAGATTTTATTTGTTAACCGTTTATTTTCCCCAGATCATCAAGATATATATAATGAGTATAAAACTCCATGTTCTTTTAGTTCTTGTTGCAGTAATTTTCTCGTGTGAAGGCCAGAGCCTTCATCAGCACATGGACTGATTTTTTTTTAATATTCTGTGCCTTCTTTCCTTCGTCCCTCCCTCTTTCCAAATAGTTCCCATCTCTTCCTCATCCCCTTCGTTCGCCCCTCCTTCCATCCCTCCTTTTTTCCTGCCCTCCCTTCCCTGTGTGTGTTTCTCCTCCCTCTGCACCGCTCAGGAGGGCCCCGCACCTACACCATCTTCTGTTCGGTGTTCCACGTTTTCGTTGGCTTTAAGTTGAAACATTGTTCATTGCTACTAAGTGCCCAGATTGGCTCCCAAATCAGAAACAACTGCTTTAAATATCTTTTTTTTTTTAAACTCTTTTGGTTATTACATCAAGTGACACCCCCTTTCCGGGCCCCCCCCCCCCTGCCGCAAGCCCCCCCCATTCTTATCCAGGGGCCTAATTGCAGCATACCGTGCCTCACATTTTTAGCCCGGGTCTAAGTTTTTTCCCAGGGCCTCAAGTTCTTAAGCCCAGGGCCTCACAGTTCTATAGCCCAGGACTCACATTCTTAGCCAGGGCCTCACGTTCTTATAGCCGAGGGGCTCAGTTTAACCCAGGGGAGCCTCCAGGTATTTAGCCAGCCCATTCTAGCCCATCTCAGCCTTAGCCAGGGCTCTCAGCCAGAGGCTACGTTATAGCCCACGTGCTTAATTTTACCAGGGCCTATGTTCTGCCCGAGATCAGTTTGATAGCCCAGGGCACAGCATAGGGTAGTTTAGCCCAGGGGATCAGATTCTATCCCCATATTGGCCGCTATATCAGGCATACAGTAAGGCCTAACGGATTAGAGGTAATGGGCCCTGAAATGAGGTAGTCAGGATAAGGTCATTTATGGCAATCAGGGTCAATATCTATCAGTGACGTCATACCAGACCAATGTCAGTAAATAAGTATGTCTATCGTAGATAGGCTATCAGTTATTGCTCAGGTAAAGACTTTAAAGGAGACAGTTTACTCTACGTATAGCCCTTGAACGTCTAGTGCGTCAGTTACCTGGCAAGATTGTGTTCTGACAGCGGACCGTCTAGCAACTACAGATAGGCTTTCTGATTTCCAGTATCAATCTAGGATTCAAGATCTTGCATTACAGAATCACATTACGGATGATCTATCTCATTACCCACGGCCAATAGAGCTTGATGTATTGCCTTACCAGTGCATCACTCTCAGCACCTGAGACTATGATTAAGCAGGTGCTGCACTCTACAGACAATACAAAATGTAGCACCCCAGTGTCAAGATAACTGGACGACATGGAAGTATGACATGGACATTTAACGAATGCATAACGTTTAGGGCCAGATGCAAATGTTGTATGAAACTAATGGAGTTTCTCATTGAGGTAGAATACCATGAGTAAATTTCATAAATTCAACATCTAAAGCAATAAAGCCTGTTAAGTACTATACAGGAGCTAAATTATAGTTTAGCCACAGAATTTATTACAGCCCTTGTTTGAGATCATTTCGGCAAATTAGTTAATGTCCCAGTAGTGCGACCCACACCAGTCCAGACCTCACTTACCATTTACTGTCATGGTGAACAGGGACAGAAGGTGCCTTAGATAACACGTCGTAATGCTTCCACCCGTACCGGGGATCGAGCCACGGACCTCAATATGTGAGCTGAGTGCCCTAGCAATCATTCCGGTGTTTAATTCTTTAGTTCTTCCATGGCAAAATAACTAAAATTTGCCTTCATTGAACATCGTACATTTTCTGTGGCCCACTGGAAGACTTGGCCAATATAAGTTTAAAGATTTATTGGGTCCTCAGTGGATGCCACTTTCAGACAAATTGTATTAGTGTTTGCAGATTATGATAAAGTACTGGTATTGGTAGGATACGAAAATGAGAACGAAAATTGAGGCAAATACTCTTTTTCACTCTGTTGACTATTACTCCTTGTGTCAGAAAATTAGAAATGCATCTGCACACTTTCCAGCTATTGGTGTATCAAATTTTGTATGTGCCATTACACAATGATTACGCTTGCCGAAGGCTCCTGCAAAGTCTGTGTATGCTACATCTACATTTTATTTGTCTTCCAGAGTATTTAAAATCATATCGTAATGATCCAGCAACTGTGTGGTCACTTTGTTGAGACGACTGAATGTGTCTCGGTGGTAGAGAACCATCACTTGAGATGTGCTGGATAAGGTTGAGGTTTTGTGATAATTAATGTTTGCTTTTTTTTTCCCTTGTTTAACAAATCAGTCAGGATATCCAATTTAGAGAATTGTGTGAGGCGTTGTTTCGACCTGTTTTAAACACGTGTTGATATGGCTTGAGGAACTGTTGTGTTTTCATTCGTTTAGCGTTCTTGCTTCTTCAAACTCTTTCAAAGATTTTGATAATGTAAGAAGTCAATGCTATCGATCTACAGTGTTTTTGCAATTGATTTTCCGCTATCTTTGTGGAGCGGGGCTATATATCCATGATTTTTAATGCATGGGATGACACATGTGCAGGGCGGGATTAAGGGATGGGCTTTAGGGGCTGCAGCCCAGGGTCCTCCACCAGCTGGAGGGCCTCCAGGGGCTGCAGCCCAGGGCTCTCCGCCAGCTGTAGGGCATCCAGGGTCCTCCGCCAGCTGGAGGGCCTCCAGGGTCCTCCGCCAGCTGGAGGGCCTCCAGGGTCCTCCGCCTGCTGGAGGGTCTCCAGGGTCCTCCGCCTGCTAGAGGGCATCCAGGGACCTCCGCCAGCTGGAGGGTCTCCAGGGTCCTCCGACTGCTGGAGGGTCTCCAGGGTATTCCGCCTGCTGGAGGGTTTCCAGGGTCCTCCGCCTGCTGGAGGGTCTCCAGGGTCCTCCGCCTGCTAGAGGGCATCCAGGGACCTCCGCCAGCTGGAGGGTCTCCAGGGTTCTCCGCCTGCTGGAGGGTCTCCAGGGTATTCCGCCTGCTGGAAGGTTTCCAGGGTCCTCCGCCTGCTGGAGGGTCTCCAGGGTCCTCCGTCTGCTGGAGGGTCTCCAGGGTCCTCCGCCTGCTGGAGGGTCTCCAAGGTATTCCGCCTGCTGGAGGGTCTCCAGGGTCCTCCGCCTGCTGTAGGGCATCCAGGGTCCTCCGCCAGCTGGAGGGCCTCCAGGGTCCTCCGCCAGCTGGAGGGCCTCCAGGGTCCTCCGCCTGCTGGAGGGTCTCCAGGGTCCTCCGCCTGCTAGAGGGCATCCAGGGACCTCCGCCAGCTGGAGGGTCTCCAGGGTCCTCCGACTGCTGGAGGGTCTCCAGGGTATTCCGCCTGCTGGAGGGTTTCCAGGGTCCTCCGCCTGCTGGAGGGTCTCCAGGTCCTCCCGCCTGCTAGAGGGCATCCAGGGACCTCCGCCAGCTGGAGGGTCTCCAGGGTTCTCCGCCTGCTGGAGGGTCTCCAGGGTATTCCGCCTGCTGGAAGGTTTCCAGGGTCCTCCGCCTGCTGGAGGCTCTCCAGGGTCCTCCGTCTGCTGGAGGGTCTCCAGGGTCCTCCGCCTGCTGGAGGGTCTCCAAGGTATTCCGCCTGCTGGAGGGTCTCCAGGGTCCTCCGCCTGCTGGAGGGTCTCCAGGGTCCTCCGCCTGCTAGAGGGCATCCAGGGACCTCCGCCAGCTGGAGGGTCTCCAGGGTCCTCCGCCTGCTGGAGGGTCTCCAGGGTATTCCGCCTGCTGAAGGGTTTCCAGGGTCCTCCGCCTGCTGGAGGGTCTCCAGGGTCCTCCGTCTGCTGGAGGGTCTCCAGGGTTCTCTGCCTGCTGGAGGGTCTCCAGGGTTCTCCGCCTGCTGGAGGGTCTCCAGGGTTCTCCGTCTGCTGGAGGGTCTCCAGGGTTCTCTGCCTGCTGGAGGGTCTCCAGGGTCCTCCGCCAGCTGGAGGGCATCCAGGATCCTCCGCCAGCTGGAGGGTCTCCAGGGTTCTCTGCCTGCTGGACGGTCTCCAGGGTTCTCGGCCTGCTGCAGGGTCTACAGGGTTCTCTGCCTGCTGGAGGGTCTCCAGGGTCTTCCGCCAGCTGGAGGGCATCCAGGGTCTTCCGCCAGCTGGAGGGTCTCCAGGGTTCTTTGCCTGCTGGAGGGCATCCAGGGTCCTCCGCCAGCTGAAGGGTCTCCAGGGTCCTCCGCCTGCTGGAGGGTCTCCAGGGTCCTCCGCCAGCTGTAGGGCATCCAGGGTCCTCCGCCTGCTGGAGGGTATCCAGGGTCCTCCGCCTGCTGGATGGTCTCCAGGGTCCTCCGCCTGCTGAAGGGTCACCAGGGTCCTCCGCCTTTTGGAGGGTCTCCAGGGTCCTCCGCCTGCTGGAGGGTCTCCAGGGTCCTCCGCCTGCTGGAGGGTCTCCAGGGTCCTCCGCCTGCTGGAGGGTTTCCAGGTCCTCCGCCTGCTGGAGGGTCTCCAGGGTTCTCTGCCTGCTGGAGGGTCTCCAGGGTCCTCCGCCTGCTGGAGGGTCTCCAGGGTCCTCCGCCTGCTGGAGTGTTTCCAGGGTCCTCCGCCTGCTGGAGGGTCTCCAGGGTTCTCTGCTTGCTGGAGGGTCTCCAGGGTCCTCCGCCTGCTGAAGGGACTCCAGGGTTCTCC